GAGGAGGAGGAGGAGAGGGGGGGGGGCGACAGGCCTAGACCCCCGGCGTCGCGTCCCCCCGGAGGTCAGGGGAGGGAGGGGCGGGGAGGGGGGGGAGCTGGGGAGGGGGTCGCGCTTGTGTTCGCAGCGTCGACCCCCAAAGGTCTGGCTGGACCCCTGCCAAGAGGGGCCAGGTTTCCATGCAGAGTCGTTGTGGACGCCTCCGGGGCCCGGCAAGGGCCCCCAGAGGCCGAGCACAGCGAGAACCGCCCGCCGCGATTTTTTCACAACGCCAGGGGGTCTGGGGGGAGAGCGTACCGGGCATGGCGACCAGGGGCTGGTGACGCCCTGGCGGGGCGCCTGCCCAGAAATGTCCGTCCTCCTTGCGCAGTGCCGCGGTACCCTGTGCGGGGGGTGGACGGCGAAGCGATGCGAGCCAGGCAACGCCGCCGCGAGCGAAGGCGGCGAGAGTGTGGGGCGCAACGCCGCGGGACACCAGTGAGGGGTACCGATAAGGGGTAACTGGCATAGCCCAGACATGATCGCGTCGTACAAAAATCAAGACGGCAACTTTTTCGCTGTTTTCGGCCCCTGGGGGCCGTCACCGGGCCCCAGGACCGTCAAAAAACTACTCGGGATGAAAAACCGGTCCTGGGGAAAGGGTCGGGGTTTCTGGGGACGCCAGATTAAAACAACAAAACATCGCATGTCTGTGTGGCGGGGGAACGTCGACCTGGAGTCGGCGATACATCGCCGATAGATCGGCGATAGGCCTCCGATAATGAATTGATGCCTTCCTGGGCAGGTTGGGGCGATCGGGCCCTCATCGGCGATCAATGGGCGATTGGGGGCCGACGCATCCCCCCTACGCCTATCCCCAGACATCTAACTGCTCAATTTTTTTGGAAACGTGGGCCCCCGAAGTCTGGACCACTTCCCTGGGGCCGGTTTTTCGCCCTGAGCCGATTTTGACGTTCCCGAGGCCCGGCGAAGGCCCCCAGAGGCCGAAAACGGCCCAACACCGCCCGCTCCACTTTTCCTCCCAACCATCCTGTGGTGTTGGGTCCTCGATGTGTCCCTTCCTCTCCTCTCTTCTCCTCCTCCTCCCCCTCCTCCCTCACTTTGACAACCCCTCACACGCTTCGTGGCCCCATCGGGAGCTCCACCGAAGGCCCCAGTGGCTGCTCCCGCACGCGGGACCTCCACGCAGTACAGCGCTTCGTGGCCCCACAGGGGGCGCCGCCGAAGGCCCGAATGGCTGCTCTCGCATGCGGGACCCTCGCGCTGCGCAGCGCTGCGTAGCCCCATAGGGAGCCCCACCGAAGGCCCCACTGGCCGCTCTCGCGCGCGGGACCCCCACGTTGTGCAGCGCTGCGTGGCCCCTCTGCCCTCATTCGCGTGCGCCTCCCCCACCAGGTATAGCGCGTCGTGGCCACACAGGGAGCCCCACCGAAGGCCCCAGTGGCTGCGCTAGCACGCGGGGCCCCCGCCCAATACGGCGCTTCGTGGCTCGGGGATGGACAGACCCCCCTTTAGTAAAACGTGGTTTAGTGAAAACGACCTGAGGCCCAAACCTGGCGGGCGCAAGCCTGGAAAATAACGGCCACGGCGCCCTCTCGAGAACCGAAAACGGACAATTCACTAATCGACGTGTCACTGTTGGGGGTTCTGTCCACCCCCGAGTGGCCCCATAAGGAGCTCCGCCAAAGGTCCCAGTGGCTGCACTCGCATGCGGGCCTCCGCCCAACACCACCTTTTGTGGCCCCGTAGGGAGCTACACCGAAGGCCCGGGTGGCTGCGCTCGCACGCGGGACGCCCACCTAACATAGCTCTTCGTGGCCCCATCGGGCGTTCCAACGAAGGCCCCCATGGATGCACTCGCACGCGGCTCCCTCGCCGACGACAGCGCTCCGTGGCCCCGTAGGTAGCTCCGCCGAAAGCCCCAGTGGCAGCGTTCGCACGCGTCTCCCCCGCGGCCGCGCTAGCATGCGGGGCCCCAGTGGCTGCGCTAGCATGCGGGGCCCCGCCTGTTCTAAACTCCAGGGTCTGGGAGTCCTGAAAGGCCAAAGTGGCCCAAACCACATCGGCACGCCCTTCGCATGCTTCGTGGCCCCATGAGGAGATCCCCCGAAGGCGATACCCGCAACGACGGTACTCACAGCTGCATATGGTTGGGTCCTTCGCCAGAATAATTGTTTGAAACGCCGGACCTCTGGGGCTGGGCTGTCAACGCACCAAACCGCGACACCACTAGGTCACCACGCCGTGACACTAGGCCAGCGCCATGGCTCCTCGTGCACAGCCACTGCACGCAGCAGGGCTCGAGCCAGATAGTGTCTTTCGTTTTCGCTTTGTGTTCGTTGTCCTTCGTTCTGTCTTCGATCGGCGGCGCGCGCAGGGGGTAGGGGGAGGGGGGGAAGGCTTCTTAGAAGGAGGCTGCTTCTTAGACGGCGCACGCCTTACATCTATAGACAAGGCCCGCGCCTTCTAAGAAGCAGCATCCTTCCAAGAAGCCTTCCGCCCTCCCCCTATCCCCCCCCGTGCGCACCGCCAGTGTGTTGTGCCTTTGCTGCGGAACGACATCAGAACGAGGACGGTCCACGAAATCTCCAAAACACTGTTGAGCTCGAGCCATGGTCAGCAGCACCTGCCACGCTAAAGCGTGGCCGCCCGCGGACAGCCCGCCCGCGGCTCTCCCCGCTGCCCGCGGCTCCTTCCCCTTGGCTAACCCGCGGCTTGTCGCATGCACTTTTCGGGCCCAAGAGGGCCCCGAGTCGCCGAAAGATCGCCCCAAGACACCCAGGATAGCCTCAAGATGGCCCGCGAGGCCTCCAAGACGCCCCAAGGGGCCTCGAAGAGGCCTCCCAAGAGGGCCGCAAAAGGCACGAATAATTGATTTTCTCCGGACGTTTGTAAGATTTCGGCGTTCTCGTTCGGCTTTCCCACGCTCCAAGACGGCCCTAGAGGCCCCCAAGACCATCCCAAAACGGTCAAAGAGGCCCCCAAGAGGGCCCCAAGAGTGCCCACGAGGGCCCCTAGGAGAGGGCCCCAAGAAGGCCCCAAGAGGGGCCAACAGAGGGAACACGAACTGCATTCCGCCCCAAGAGGCGCCCAGGAGGCCCCAGGAGGCCCCCAAGAGGCCCCCAAGAGGCCCCAAGATGCCACAAAACGGACCCCAAGAGGCCTCCAAACTGCCTCCAAGAGGCCCCATTCCCACGAGATCCCAACGAACGTCCAGTAGGCTTCATACCCAGAACCCAGACAAGGTGGCGGGATGGACTGAAGGCAACTATATTTCAGAAGAAAAGAGAGATACATATAAAGAGACATAGAGAGTGAGGGAGGAAAAGACAGAGAGAGAGAGAGAGACATAGAGAGAGAACGAGAGAGCGAGAGAGAGAGAGAGAGAGACAACACAACGAAACACATATTCAACAAGCAGGAGAGGAATACGGAGGAGGTCACAGACTCCGGGGACAAAAGAGAGGCATGCGTCATCAAAGCAATGCGCAGGACCCACAGAAGCACCACGATGAAGTTGACGATGCGCGTGCCTGCCACCCCCCACGCAGCTCATCTCGCCAATCTGCTCACACGATGCCATAGGATGGACGACACGTAGAAGGTAACGGATCTACACTGGATGCGCATGTGACCCACCATATGAGTCAAGCAAGGTGGAGCGCAACGATGCCAGAAAGGGGAAACAGCTGTCCCTGCGAAGCCGTGCGCTTCGTGGAACGAGAAGCCCAATCATTTCCGCGTTCCCGAGCCAGCTCTGGCACGAAGGACATGGGCCCTGAGGGAAGCGCGTCCTGGACCTGGGGGCCTTCCCCACAACCGCTCCTTGATCTTGAGCAATGTCTTGGCAATCCCAAGGCCAAAGGATGGTCGCGCCAGGAGGCCGGAGACGACTCACGAAGTGGAGCACGAGGAGGAGGGCGAGGAGGGAGAGCGAGGAGTGGAGGGACGAGTGGGGGGAGGACGAGTACTGCCAGCCGAAAGCTTTGGAGGGGTGGGGAGGGGGTGCAGCAAAAAAGACTCCCGGGGTCCATGTGATGCAATTCTTCCGCCTGGTTACGTTTCTCGGCAGTCCCAGGGGCCGGACACGGCCCTGGGATTAGGTCGGGCCTGTCCCCCTACAGGGGCATCTTGGGCGAACTTAAAACAGTCAGAAATTATTCAACAGTAATCAAAAGTATTCAAAAAATCGTCCCCCGACTATCTTTGGACTATTTTTCAAGATTCCCCCTGTAGAGGGACAGGCCCGACTTAACCCTGGGAGGCTGAAACCTTCCCGAACCCAGCAGCCTCGAACCTGCCCGCCCTTCCTGCTGACTGGAACCAATGCTGGGCCAGCTCAGAACTCCAGACGACTCCAATGTCGATCATTGGGACCTGGGGGAATCAAACAAAAGGTAGCGACACCGCTGCTCCCCGGACCTCTCCCGGGGTGCGTTCTGATGAAGATTTCAGGGCGAATCCAGCAGTGGCGACGAGGCCTTCCCAGGAGGCCCAGAAAGGGGAAAACGGGGGAAGGCTAGCGGTAGGGGTACCCTTTTCTAGAGGCCTCCTAGATGAGGTCGGAATAGATGTGGTCGAAGGATCGCGCCGCTTTGCCGATACATCGGCGACACATCGGCGATGCATCGGCGATGCATCGGCGATGCACCGGCGATGCATCGTCGAAGTGGGCGATGCATCGGCGACGTCGACGTGAAGCAAATCGGGCTCAACATCAAGCCGCATTGGCGATGCATCGGCGACGAGGCGCGATCCTCCGACCCCATCTGCTCCGACCCCATCCAGGAGGCCCAGAAACATGTTCCATCCAGGAGGCCCAGAGCTTCCTGCTCCGACGACAAACACATCTCTGCAGGCTGGTACGACCCGAGCGGCTCCGCGCTTCGCCCCCGCCGTGCACGCGCCCGCGGGCACCTCGGCCCCCGCCGTGCACCCCTCGCGGCCGCGCGGAGAGGCGCCGAGCGCGCCCGGGCTCCGAGGCCGCGCGGAGAGGCGCCGAGGCCCCGCCGGGCACCCCTCGCGGCCGCGCGGGGAGGCGCCGGGCGCGCCCGCGGGCCTGCTTCTGGCCACCTCCGAGGCCGGGGGCGCTGCCGCGCACCCTGGAGGAGCACCGCTGTTCAATGCAGCAGGGTCAGGAGCACCGCCGCCAGACCGAGAACTATCAGCATGTCCTGGCATTAAGGTGGGAGGCGCTGCCCGCCGCTGGGCCCCCCTGCAGATGGCGCCGCCGGCGGGGGCCCAGCGCCGACCCGAGAGCTGCGCGCGGGCCTCCGGAAGAAAGTGCTCGTGCAGCTGGTTGCTGTTCGATCCTTCTCCTCCGCCGCCTTTCTCTCTCCGTCTCTCTCTCTCTCTCTCTCTCTTTCCCTCCCTCCCTCTTTCTCTCTCTCTCTCTCTCTCTCTCTCTCTCTTCTCTCTTTCTCTCTCTCCCTCTCTCTTTTCTCATGCTCCTCCGTCCTCCTGGTCCTCTCCTTTCCTCCTCATCGCGACCCGCCTGCTGCCCCTCCCTCTCCTCCCCCGCTGGCTCAAGCGCTGCCCCCAAATGTAAGACCAAGACAACATGAGGAAACATTCGGCCTGGAAGACATACCGGGCCCTGCGGCCGTTCTCGGAGCGATCCGAACGCTCTGATAGCGCTCCAGAACCGTCTGGAGCGACTTGTCTTCATCCGATCGGCCTGCATGCACGATGGCGGCAGCAGCGACGATGACGACGACGACGACGACGACGACGACGACGACGACGACGACGACGACGACGACGACAGAAGTCCACTCGAAATCTACGCCCAGACCCCTCATGGGGTCTAGCTGTTCTTCGAATTTTGTCAGTCCTGGGGCCCGACCGGCCTCTGGAGGCGGGGAATCGATAAAATGGTTCGGCCCCCCGAACCTCGCTCGACGCCGGCGGAGGCAGCGGCTGGTAAAGGCGCATCGGGACTTTTCTGCCGACATGTCGTTGCGAACAGGCATGTGTGTACGCTTGTTCCTGCGGCCGCCCTTTCATTTTCGATCGCCCCATGCCCCCCCCCCCGCCCGCCTTTGTCACGAACGCTGGGCGGGCGTGCACCGCAGCAAAACCTCCTCCTCCACCTCCTCCTCATCCTCCTCCTCCCCCTCCTCCTCCTCCTTGGACGCACTTCGGGCGGGCAAGAAGTAATATGATTTGGGTCACCCCGCCCAGTCCACATCAATGATTTTGCATCTGTCTTCCGTAGCCGTTTTGGCTCAAGAGGGTCATGATTCAAGAAATAAATGGAACTGGTGGAATCTTCTTCACATAACGCGTTCATTCAGGATGCGGTTGCGGTTTTCTCTAGCAAGAAGGAGGGTGCCAGGGTCCGCAGAGGCACATTGAGTTTGACAACGGTGTGTGCCCTTGTTCAACACCACGAGCGTCAGCGACACCCAGACGGCGAACATTCATTGGGCCCCAAACGGATCCGTGCTGGGATACTAGAACTTGCACGCGCCGAGAATGTAGAGATCGACAGGTCGAACGAAATTCCGATGTCGCTGCTTCCAGCTGTAATGAATAAGTACTGCAATGAGGTAGTGAGCCCGCGGGACACAGAATACATTGTGAATGCGTTCGTGGGCAATACAAGGCGCAAGCGAACTTCTGGTGATGAGCTTTGTAATGCAGACGTCAGTGCACAGATTGATAAGTATGCAAAAATGAATAACGTGGCCTTGGTGTCGACGTTGTTGTCGCGGGACGAAACTATTATGGAGTTGCGTGCAGAATTATCCAGAGTTAGAAGAAGCAGGAATTACTGGGAAGAAAAAAGTTCAGACCTGACTGCAATGTGCGCAAGTGCTAGAGACGACTGCGTCGCTATTGCTGACCAAGCCAACTATCGACCTGGCCTTCGAAACATGAGTCTGTTCGGTGGTTACAGCATCGCCCTAGCGCGATCCAGGACAGCTGCCAGCGCCAGTGCTACTATCACGTTGGTCGCTGGCGATTCGGTCCGCGGCGGGTTCACCGACCACCACATCGTGTCCAAGTATGAGGCGAGGGCATGCGTGGCACAGAGACTGATATCACGAGGTAGTGGCATCCAAATGGGAGGGTATTGCATGTGTCCTTCACGCCAACAGGGGGTGGTGCATGTTTTCTCGTGGGGGCCTGGGGGGGAGGGGAAGGGAAACTGCAGATGGGTGAGAGGGGCACATGCGTACCCGCCCAGTTGGTTTCCACATCAAGGCACATACGCGGAGATGGCCATCGCGATCGAGGATGCCAGAAATCGAGCAAATGATGTTTCGTTTCAGTTTCTGTGTTACAAAGGGGATTGCACCAAACAGGAGGCCCTCAACAAATCAAAAATCCATGTTGGAGTTCGGAGTTCAACGCTGCTCACTGGGGCAAATTTTGCGATAGCTTCAGAGGAAAAGTTCAAACTAAACGAGGATGTGCTTTCCACTTGTATGATGTACACGCGATCGGTGTGCGACCTGCAGGAGAGCGTTGCGGGCAGTGGCGCTGAGATGGTGGCAATTATCAATAAGGAGCTGGATAGCGTTGGGTGTCCATCAGTCACGCGTTTGGCAGCCGACAGTTGCAAAAAACAGGTGTGTTGTTTATGCTGTGTATTAGACAAAGGTCCTGATAACCAAGGTTGGTGCAACAGAATTGTCGGCATGTCCTCTCCCAAGCCTTACTTTATTGTGTGGGTCACGTGGTGCTTCATGCATTCGGCGCATCTTATCTGTAAAAGTGTGATTGCTACTCTGGATGGGTGGGAATGGGGCGAGGCGACAGAGTGGAATGGCCCGAAGTATTTCAGCAGTATTGCTACTGTCATCAACACATGGAGATCACCATTGATGCCGAAAAAACTAAAACGGGCAGCTCAGCATCTTCTTCCTCCTTCTCAGGTTGGTTCATGTTTTCGCCGCTTGCCAGGGCGCGCGCTGCGGGGACGATGGGGTTCGTGTGACAGCGGAGAAGAGATTATCATATCCAGCGAGGCTTACCTTGGCGAGTGTTTCAAGCTTGCCCCGCGAGGCTTCATCGACAAGGTAAACGCCGAGGCTGACCCTGGTGACGAGGATGCGCAGTTCCAAGCTGAGCAAAAACAATATAGAGACATAACTCGCGCAATGACTTCGACCCCGCTTTGGTACGCAATGGTTCACATATCTCGTACTGCAAAAAAGCCAATCGTGAGGTGGCTGTATTGGGCGCAAAAGGAAGACAAAAAACTACGAGCGTTGCAGAGCCACGCAGAGGAAACAGGCTCGGTATACTTGGGCAAGACACCTTTGAGCGAGTTCGTGAGCTGGAAAGTTGCTGACGTGGACGGCCAGCTTTCAAGCCTCTTGGATGAAGACGCAGTGCTCGATGTAAATCGGTGGGGAGGGGTTTGGAAACATTGCGCAGAAGAGCTACACCATGACTGCCTTGACCTCATCATCTCGGCGTCGCTGAAAGCAGCCTGCTCGTGGTTCCATCGCAACATCATGGAGGCGTGTTGGTTTCCTCATTTACTTCTCTTGCTTGTCGAGGTGGAGCCTGGTATTGAGGA